ACTTTCACCCGGAGCAACCAGCTGAACCGGGTGGTTTATTTACTTCAGGCTTTGGTTAGTGTAGGAGTGCAGAACTGGGTCCACCGCAAATACAGCCAAGATATTTTTACGTGTATCTTGAAAAGCAGAACAAAAGACAACGCTCATGCCAAGTGACGCTGCCAACCAAGAGCGAAGGAGAACAAACCACCAGGTTGCATTTAGCCCTGAGAACTCAAAATCCCTCACCCAAAGAGTACAGCTCCCACCAGAATAACGGGAGAACAGACCCACGTGTGAGAAAGGCATTTCATCAGTTTATGAGGGATTATATGCCCCGATTTTTTTCATTTTTTTGAAGCTCTGTGTATATAAATTCACATTTAGCCATGACTATAAAAACCAACCGCAGAACCCAGCCTGACAAGGATGGTCAATAACCATTTGAAAGGGGCATTAGGATGTTTTTAAATCAATACAGGCATTGCCAGAGGCGTTCATCATCGAGGTTGGCTATTAAAACTCATAATGAATTGATGCCCTTTCGAAAGGAGCAGTTTGGACCAAGCACAGTATGAACGTGTCACCGTTATTACAAATACAGTTGGAACCATCTAAAATGGGTGAACGTCCCATTTCGCAGAAGTAGCTTTGCATTACATAAGTTGCAATGACTTAATGAAGCTTTCAGATGCACACGCGAGGCTCCGGGACAATATTACCCCAATGAATCACGATGGGTTTCAAGGCTGGAGAGGCTTTATACATCATCCCTCCTCCACAGCCTCTGCTTCTGCTCAGGGAAGGAGGGAACAAGGAGAAAATTTATAGGGTAAGCATCAGCAAACCGTTCATGCTCTTGTGATGGGGGCTGGCCATTCTTCCCCTTGGCACCAGGGCACAGCCTCAGATCAGGGCAGCCTGAAAAGCTGGGACAAGGCTGGACTTTCCGAGACCAGCTGGCACACCAGCAATAACTGGGGAAAAAAGTGAATTTTCTGGCTGCAAGGACACAAACAGAGGCAAAGCACACCCATACGTTGCCTGAAGCATCAGTACCGGTCCCACAATTCAGCTCATGCCCTGATCCCTAAGGGGCTTTGCCTCCTCTTTCATCTCCCCAGCTCCCTTCCTCCCTTTCTTCACAAGTTTACTCCAAGTTTCAAGACTTGAACTGCCTGGGCACCAATGAAAAGAGATGCTGCGTGAGCATCTGCTTCCTCTCCTGTGCAGCCCACTCCCCACTCCAGCAGCTCTGGCGCACGACAACTTCCTCTGAAGGGGAGAAAATAAAGCAAAAATTGGAAAAAAAAAAATGACAGCCTCAGGAAAAAGGTAAAAAATTCGAATGGCTGCTGCCGAAATAGGCACAGCAGGTCTTGGGGCAGCACAGCAGGAGGGAGCCACCCCAGCCCACCCGCCTCTCCTGCTCCAGGGCTTCCCCGGCCAAAACACCACCTAAGCCTCTGCAACGTTGCGGCTGGTTTGATGCAGCAGCTCAGTTTTAAGTTAAAAAACCACAAGTTCTATGTAATGAGGTTTCTCTATGATGCTCCCAAACCCCATGGCTCATTTAAGCAACGAGTTTAATGAAATTTCATTCCTTAAGTACACTATCTCAAACCCCAGTATCTTTCTCCAATTACTAAAGCCATCTGGATTTATTTATTGAACACCTATGCAGGAATGCCACAGTACCATTCCCTAAATCACGCCCTATCAGAAGTCAATCAAGTCATTAAAACAAACCGTGATTCCCCTTAATAATATTAGTGAGTTAACAGCGTTGGCAGCACGATGCCAGAAGCACATCCCATCCCCTTGGCACGGATGTCCACGCGTCTGGGACGGACAATGAGGGAGCAGAGATGCTGCTGGTTAGCCAGGCACTTCAGTAAAGATTTATCTGCAGCCTGGGTCAGCTGCCAGCTCAGAGACTCCTACTCTTAACTCCCCAGGCCACTGCGGATGCTCCCAGCTGAGCGCCAAAATGATATTTGGTCTTTTACTGTAAGCCACATTGCTGCGAGCTCCTCTGCCCCAGCACTCCTAGGAAGCATCTCCCTGGACGCAGAAGATCTTCCACCTGCAACGGGTAAGTGAGGATGTTGAAGCGAGAGCGGAGGAGGCTGCTGGGGAACATCGTTGCCCTCCCACTCCGCTCCGTAATCTGATTTGGAGCGACGTGAATCATTCGGCACCGGGACGTGATAAAGAATCAACATGCCTCGCTGTTAAATATACAGTTTAGAGGAGCATGAGTCACAGCTCAGGTTTCAAGGTGCGATGCTGTATGTAAATCCTTTCTGAGAACTACCCAAGAACACCGCGCACGTAGCTACGATTGAAGGGGTCAAACCTGGCTTTCCAGTCCCGCAGCCCGCGGTGACCCTGCTGAAACTATTTCCCCTGGTTTTAATGTCTACAGACTCAAGCAAGCTGAGCTGCCCCGAGCCCTGGGGCTGCAGCGGGAGGTTTAGGGGCCAGGGCAGCCCGTGGCCGCTGTGGCAAGGGAGGCCACAGCCCGCTGGGTCCCTCCATGGCGCCGGAGGGGGCTTCGCCTGCACCCCGAGGAATGAACAAACCCTCCTCAGCTTTATCCCAGCTCCGAGGGAGGCAGCGAAACACCGATTCCATCCCTTGCCTACCCAGATATATTACAGACAAGGCTGGGTTCTCTTTCTGTTTGTAGTAATTAAAGCCTAGTGATTATCCCACTCATCAAATACCAAGTCTAGACACAGGCTTTTCACTGATATTCCTACCAACTCCTCCCATACTTCACTCCACCCGGAGACGTGCGCCTCACTCCACACGTTCACGAGACAGCCAGCTGTTAGCAGCTCCCCCAAAAAACCTCGTTTCGATTCAGCATCGATGCCCGTGACTGCAGGGCAGCAGCGGGCCGAAGAGGAGCTGGAGGACGAGGGGAGCGGAGGAGAGGAGAGAGGGGGCTCCCAGCCCCACTTGGGTGGTACCGCGCTCCCTCACTCCCTACAGACAGCTCGCAGGTGATGGGAAACCTGCAATTTATTTGGAGGGATTTGGGATGATGGGGAGGAACAGAGGCACCCAACCACACCACTGACTGGGGGAAAAAGCGGAATGACAACTTTTTTCTCCCAACAGAACAGATGAAGGACAGGTCTAACTATTGCATTTCCTCCATCTCCCTTCCTACAGGTCTAAACCAAACCTTCCCCCTCAGCTCAGTGCAGCTACAAGGATCCCACCACCCGAGCATGACCGCACCGTGGCTGCTGCTCCCGACCTGCCACGCAGCCACGTTAAATCCACGTTTACATCACTAACAGCAAAGACCTCAGACACGCAGGGCCCTGGAGAGCTTCAGGCTCACACGTTCTCCAGCCCTCTCCCTCCCAGCTCCCCTGCTCCTCACCACCAGCCCTAGGCAGTAAAGACAACTGCAAAACAAGGCAGCAATGTGCTTTGGGATTTTTCTTTGTTTCCACAGCTTTAGCAATTTTAAAACATGTAAATATGAAGGAAGGGTCAATGATTCAACAGTGATTAAGTCTGAAATATTCCACTTAGTACCAATTGGACTTTGAAAATACTCATCATGTTCCCAGAGCGTTCCCCAGAGTGCAGCCAAGCAGCACCCAGAGCTGGAGAAAGCTGCTTTCTTGGAAGGATTGAGGTATCTTGTGAAAATACCAAGTTCATTTCAGTAAGCAAAAAAGGAAAAAAAAAAAAAAAGAAGCAAGAGACAATAAAAGAATTAATGTATTGTGGATTCTTAATACCATCTCCCCAGAGAGAGGAAAAACAACAAAGTCTAATGGAAATTTTCTATTCTCAAAACCATTTGCACTGTTATTGTTTGCAACTAAGAAGATGAAAACATAACACCCCAGCAGCTTAAGGTTCTGAAAATTGCAGGGCTGCCTACTTTTTTTTTTTTTTTTTTTCCACCTTACAAAAATATTGAAAACCTTACAACAGCCCTTATAGCCTGCAGGGTTAGAGCAATCTTCAAGCTTGCACGAGAAGACATCCAGGACACAAAGCCCGTTGAGCCTAGCACAAAACCTCCAGCCGTCCCTTTGGAGAAATCCAAGCTGGTATTTCAAGTACTGAAAAATCTTATGGGTTTGAAACACTTTCTGAAACACGCAATTAAGCAATGCTGTTAAATAACGGAGCCTGATGTAAGAGGCTAGCACTATGCTTTGCAAAAAGAAGGATCGTTTCTTCAACTCCGCCTGCTCCCAATTGTACTCAAGACGTTGTAAACCGCTGTTTCAGTTTCTCTCCAACCAAGAAAAAGCAGAGGAGCAATGAGATTATTCCACTAAATTACATTTTCTTTGTCTAGTGAAAAGCTGCTGTTAAGTAGAGGAACAGAAAATTGTGTTGACTCAGAGGGGGTATCCCCACGCAGCTGGGTGTAAGGGTGGCCACCACCCATCCCATACACACACCCTGGACCCAGGGAAGCCCAGTGAGGTTCCGCCACCCTAAGAAGTTCCATCTTTAAAATCTATTTAAGGAGGAAATAGCTGCCAACAAGACATTTTATTCCTCGCTTTGGCAGCCGCAATTCTATTAATCTCCAAAATAAGAAGCGACAGCACGAATGCCAGTCCTAGACTATAATTAGGGAGGGCCACCGAGGGTCAGTGGCACGAGGCACCTTCAACGTGGCGTAACTCGGCAAGGGCAGGGTTAGAGCTCGCTGTGCCCACATTGAAAATAAACTTATCTCAAGCTAAGCTGAAGATTTCATTTCCCCGGTGAATGAGATATCTAATTATCAATAATTCATAGGCACAGACAGACGTGCAAGTGGTTTTGAGAACTGAAGTAGAAACAGAAGTAATGATTCTTGGAAGAAGAACCAGCGGAGAGACAGATCCAGCGCGGGAAGAGCAGGTGCACTTTGCGTGCACGCGTCAAAACCAATCTAATTTCAATCACATACGTGACAGCCTAGGTGCCAGTCTAACAGGGGTATTTTCCCCGTACACTCTGCGGTGGGTATATGACAGGATGCTTGCCTGGATGGAGCCCAGCTCTACCTATCCGGATGGACAACTCGCTCTCGTAGTCCAGGTGATGGGCAGGTTCGTGCTCGTATTTTTCTTTCACCACTCGTTGGTCACAGCTCAAGGCAAACGCTGCGTGGGGAGGCCCGCTGAAACCCTGCAAGGCAAGAGAGAAAGGGCAGGTTTTTCCCCACATCTCCCCATCAGCCTTCTCCCAGCCCCATCCTCGGGGACTGCTCCAGCGTCTGTGCGGTTGGGAAGCTGATCAGGGCGTGTGGCACAACAGCTTCTCACAGCTGCGGGGAGACGTGTCTTTTAGGATCCCCTCTCTCTGCAGACCACCTAGTTGTTAAGATTTAAATGTGTATTTCCAGCAGAAACATCCAGAAAAGGGTTAGGAGGAGCTGTGGGCCAAGAAGTAGGGGGCTAAAGAGGGAAAGCCAACATTCACATGCATGAACAGCAAAAAATGCAATTCCATAAACACAAAGAAATGCAATTGCACAAACACAACCCCGTCCAAAGGCAAGCTGGAGGGGACCAGGAGACAAGGGGGGACATCCACTGCTGAGCTGCTCTCTGAGGGTCGACCTGCTGAGCTGACCTCTGCAGAAGTTCAGCCTGCAACCGGGCACCATTTTGTCAACATGGACTGAGCTTCCAAGGGAAATAGTTTGTTCAAAACTGAACCCATTTGAGTATCAAAGGAGACGCTACATTCACAACCGCCCTGCGTTAGCTCAGGGGGACTTGTCCAGATGACCCGAGAAAACTTCAGACTCACTTGGAATGTACTCCTACACTATTTGTAACCTCCAAACAGCAGAGAGAACGGCCAAAACCAGTATGTCCAGCTACACATAAAGTCTACAGGGAACCCAAACAGATGCCCCAGGGCAAGAGGGACCAGGCTGCTCCCATGAGCAATTCCAACTCGGACACAGCTCGCAAAAACCAGCCACGGCTCAAGGACGTGCCAGAGTCTTTACCTGTATCAGCTAAAAATACCCGACAGACACCGTTTGTGCCTTTTCCCCATGGAGCTGGACATGTGGCAGGAAGGTTGGTGTCTCTGGATGGCTCCAGGCTGCCCAAACCCACCCAGAGAGAGCCACAAAACTGAGAGGAAACGTGGGGTGAGAGGCAGAACCGCACAGCCGAGAGAAGGAACGTGTCCCACGGCAGCGGCTGCACGACCTGGTGTAACCAGCTCTGCCTAAAATACGGGGAGGGGGACCCCGAGTCCCCGTCTCCTCGCAGGGCAGGGAACCAGCCCCTGGGAGCACCCGCGAGGGGGGATGTCCAGGCTGCACCTGGCGGGTTTAGCTCTTGGATTGAGGGCGGCGGAACAAACGAACATACGCTGAACAGCCAGAGACGGTAACGCGAGACTCGATGGGTAAGGTCGCATTAAACAAAAATAAAGGTTAAAGATGAATAACTGAATCATCTATTCTCCCATCATTTGCATAATATAGTCTGACCGGTGCTATTAATACTAATCACATATTTGCTATCTGCTCTCTATTGCAGTTTAATCAGGGCGCTTTCACCTCCACTAACCCAGCAATTACAAGATGCTCCGACGAGGCGCTCACGTGTAAATCCACCTGGGAGAAGGGAGACCCACAGCACCCCACTGCGCCTGCCCACGCACCAGCTCTGCACCCTAAACCCCGAGCAGTAGCTGGCAGAGCAGGCAGAAATACAAGTGTTTTCCAGCAAAATCTGGATGACGCGACACAGTGAGGAAAGAGGGGAACTTCAGCATCACAGCCCAACTTGGGTAAGGCAGGAAGAGACAGAGGATGGAAACTCGGGAGCTCACCCTGCTGCTGGCACTTCTGCTGGCAAAGCCAGGAGAGTCTGGTCCTGCTAAAGCTAAAGGGGTTTCCACCTCTGGAAAGTGAGTAGCATCACTTCCCAGAAAACGCCGACCCAAGGAGAAGCAGGGATGGGAATGTGAAGCTGCAGAGGTAAAGCCTCAACTCTTTAAACACAGAGGAAGGATTTACAAGCGTTGCACGGGGCTCTCCAGCCCCGTTCCAGCCGCCGGCTGCCTCCCACTTGCCGTTGGACTGGGAGAACACCAGATTTCAGGGAGCCCAAGGCTCTCCTTCCACACAGCTCCTGCTGGCGTTTTGTTAAACGGGCTAAAACGCTGTAAGTGCAGCTTCGTAGGCTTTATCACCACTGGATTTGTGGCTTTCCCCCAGCTTCTCAACGGGGTCTTGTCAGCACAGGCAGGGCAGCGAGCCCAGGGCACGGCTTGAGCCCGCAGGACCCTGCGGGTTACAGGAACCCAACCAGGAGGAAAAGAAATGACTTGCACGAGCACGAGCAGGCGGGTTACGTTCAGCCTGTGCCCTCTCTTGCCACCACTCAGCTGCAGATGCAAACAAGCAAGGTCCTCACAAGGTCAAGACCATTTGCCTCAAGGTCTGCAGTCCTGATGAGAAGCCTCCCACGGCTGTTTGCCGTGCCACTGATCTCAGCACATCAAATGTTTATGGATGTGGTACCCGCAAATCTGCTTGCGCCGAAACGGAGGCAAACTTGACGATACTTCAGCTGTTTATTGTAAGGTCAGGGCACCTCCCTTGGCAGGCACAAACACGCAACGCTGGCAATTTGAAAAAATATTAGTGACCTTCAGTAAAGCACATGATTTATCCCAACTGCGATTGCTCTGAGTCATTTCAGTCCGGGCCCTGCATGAGTCCCTTAATTGGAATGTGTCAGTGGGTTAAAAAATCATTAGAAAGAGAAGAAAGTCAACCCACGTTAATTAGTTCATGCCAGTAATTAGCGTTAACTGAAATAACCACAGGGGCTGATTATTTCAAAAAGCGAGATGCAATGAGAGATTTGGGCAGGAAGGTCTTGGAGGAAAACTATTCTGGGATGCGGGCGTCCCCACCGCACTCGTCTCTGCTCACGGAGCCACAACAGTAAGGTCGTTCGATTGTCACAGCCCCACGTGTAAAAGCGGACAAAAAAAAAATTGGGTAACTTTGCAGAGAGTAACAAGCCCCACTCCACTCAGCACCCGCCTAAACAGGCGGATCCTGCTTTTGTTACCCAAAAACTGCAGCAATTTCGAATTAATCTGGATGGAAACGTGTCCCTCTCCCGCGAGCGTCGGCAATCGATGGTATCGCCCAGGTACCGCGGGGCCGAGGGATGAGACAGGGAGGAGCTGGCAGTGACTTGCTGTGAGGTGAAGAAAGGATTTTGGATTGTATCCTGCCCAGGCAGCCTCTTGTACAAGTTGCTAATCGAATCGAAGTCAATTTTAAAAAGAAATTAAGAGCGAGTGACGCCTTTGAGAACTAACGTGCTCTTCTCCACCCGACTAGTGAAGGAGAATAAATCGATAAAGAAATAGTGATGACAAAAGCTGATGGTCTGGCTTTGGGTAGATCACTTGGTACCAAACCTGGAGGTGCTGCCTGTCTGGGAAGGTCGGTGACACTGCTCTTCCCAGGCAATATCTTACTGGCTTTAACGCAACAAACTCCTTGGAACAGGCTCCACAAAGCCACAGGGAACAAAGACCGTAACGCATGAAGTAACGGCAGAAAGCACCTCAACAGGAAAGAGAAATAGAATAAATTTTACTAACTTATAAAAAAAAATAAAATTTAAATGTTCCTAACTTGTCCAGGAGCTAACACAGAGACAATAAAAGACAATAACAAGCCATGCTTTGATGGTGCCCAGGGGCTCCCATTTCACACTTATTAAAAGAGATGGTGATAACAGCTCAGAGACCAGAAAGTGATACGGGAAAGAGAAGAGCGGTGGAGAGCAAGGAGAGGAAGGGGAGATGCTGGACATCCCCAGCCCATGTCAGCGGCTGCCCTGGCCATGGGGAGGGACCCGGCGTGACTCTGCAGCCCCCCGTGAGCTCATGGTGAGCTCTCTGCCTCAGCTGCTCGCTCGGCTTCGCCGCTTCTGCACATCTGCACAAAGCCCGACGCCTCTGGGGACAGAGACAAAGGCTGCGCAGCCACAAAGCAGCCAGCCCCTGGCTTCTCGGGGGCGGATAAACGGATTTATGTTAAAAACATGAAATCGGATTGGAGAGGAAGAGAGCTCCCTTAGAAAGCACTCAGTTCTCAGAGAGCACCCATTTGCATGTAAAACAACAGGCTGGTATTTTGTTATTTGAAACAACGCATCAAGGGCTCGATGCTCCCAAGCGAACCTCCGCCGGCACAGCGCCGGTTACAAATCCCCGTGTGCCAGCAGGTTTGTAGCCCACCGAGAGCAGGAAGCTGCCCTGTGCTCCCCCAGCTCCCTCGGCACCTTCTGGTTTCATCTCTTGAGCCCTGGGCTGGTCACATCGCTCCTGAAGTCCCTGGAGGGGACTCGGGCACCAGCAATCCCTGGGGAAGCCCAGGTTGCAGAAGGCAGGTCCTCCTGCTCACACCCACACTCCTCCAAAGCCCTCTTATTTCAAACGGCATTTTTTTTAATAATTAAAAAAAAAATATATATATATATATATATATACACAAAAAAAGTCAAACCCCACCCAGCCACATCACTTCCCATGCCAGCACCGTGCCGGAGCCAACACTGAGCTGCGGCTCCTTACAGAGGCTCCGTGTTGCTCTGCGGGACCAGACACCAGCGTTCACTCGAAAAGCACAAAAAGCACAAAAAGTTGGGCAGGTGAGGACGTGCCTGGGACGGGGCGTTAAAGGCTGCAGCGAGTTGTGCTGCCAGAAGCCTGGATGCCACCAGGCAACCCCAAAGGCGGTCAGCCAGCTCCGCGTTCCCGCAGCGCAGCGTCCTCAAAACCAACATTCCCCCACCTCTTCTGGGGAGAAAAAAAAAAAAAAACAAAAAAACAAAAAGCATGATTTTGGTCAATATTGACCCAGCATGAAGGGATGGGTTAAGGGACGGAGTTAGCAGGCAGGCATTTAAGAGGAATTGTGGCTCCTCTCAAAGCCACGGATCACTGGCAATCCTCCAGTCGAAATACTAAATCAACAACTCAAGCGCAACCTTAAATACTCCACACAATAAAAAAAAGCCCTTCTCAACGCTGAAGTGGGCGCAGTCACATTTGTGATTAACAGCAGCTCCGGGACACAAACAAAGCTCCCCTATTTCTATTCCCACCATGCCTGGCAGCCCCGTTGC